ATCATACACCACTCATCATACACCACTCATCATACACCACTCATCATACACCACTCATCATACACCACTCATCATACACCACTCATCATACACCACTCATCGTACACCACTCATCATACACCACTCATCATACACCACTCATCATACACCACTGATCATACACCACTCATCATACACCACTCATCATACACCACTCATCATACACCACTCATCAGACACCACTCGTCAGACACCACTCATCAGACACCACTCATCATACACCACTCATCATACACCACTCATCATACACCACTCATCATACACCACTCATCATACATCACTCATCATACACCACTCATCATTCGTGGCAGGCGCAATACAAAATGCGTTGCGGAGAGATAGCGAACGCACGAAATGCTGTATTTTTCAATGGAACCGGTGGCTCCGAAGCTGGCAAGTCAAGGTCTACGGAACGACGGTTGCGAGACGGTCTCGGGTCATGCTCGGATCATGCTCGGATCATTCTCGGAATCGTCCGTCCATTGGGATTAGAGTTTTCACTTGTTTCTTGAAGTGAAGATTTCGTGGCAGGTGCAGCACTTTGTGAACCTCCATGTGCAGATTTCGTGGCAGGCGCAGCACTTTGTGTACCTCCATGTGCAGATTTCCTGGCAGGCACAGCACTTTGTGAACCTCCATGCGCAGATTTCGTGGTAGGTGCAGCACTTTGTGTACCTCCATGCGCAGATTTCCTGGCAGGCGCAATACAAAATGCGTTGCGGAGAGATAGCGAACGCACGAAATGCTGTATTTTTCAATGGAACCGGTGGCTCCGAAGCTGGCAAGTCAAGGTCTGCGGAACGACGGTTGCGAGACGGTCTCGGGTCATGCTCGGATCATTCTCGGAATCGTCCGTCCATTGGGATTAGAGTTTTCACTTGTTTCTTGAAGTGAAGATTTCGTGGCAGGCGCAGCACTTTGTGAACCTCCATGCGCAGATTTCGTGGCAGGTGCAGCACTTTGTGTACCTCCATGTGCAGATTTCCTGGCAGGCACAGCACTTTGTGAACCTCCATGTGCAGATTTCGTGGCAGGTGCAGCACTTTGTGTACCTCCATGCGCAGATGTCGTGGTAGGTGCAGCACTTTGTGAACCTCCATGTGCAGATTTCGTGGCAGGCACAACACTTTGTGAACCTCCATGCGCAGATTTCGTGGCAGGTGCAGCACTTGGTGAACCTCCATGCGCAGATTTCGTGGCAGGTGCAGCACTTTGTGAACCTCCATGCGCAGATTTCTCCGCAGGCACAGCACTTTGTGAGCGTCGAGGTGCAGATTTCGTGGCAGGCGCAGCACTTTGTGAACCTCCATGGGCAGATTTCGTGGCAGGCACAGCATCTGGAGAGCTGGAAGCTGAGAACTGGCGACTTTGTAGTACAACTTTAGTTCGCGGAGCAATCTGTGAGCTGGAAGCTGAGAACTGGCGACTTTGTAGTACAACTTTAGTACGCGGAGTATCTGGCGAGCTGGACGATGAGAACTGGCGACTGTGTAGTACAACTGCAGTACGCGGAGCATCTGGGGAGCTGGAAGATGAGAACTGACTGGCGACTTTCTAGTACAACTTTAGCACGCGGAACAACCTGTGGAGCTGGAAGCTGAGAACTGGCCAGTTTGTAGTACAAGTGTAGTACGCGGAGGAGTCATCTCTCGCTGCTGAGTCAGCTCTCGCTGCTGTGAGTCATCTCTCGCGACTGAGTCATCTCTCGCTGCTCATTTATCTCTCGCTGCTGAGTCAGCTCTCGCTATAGCCATCTCTCGCGGCTGAGTCATCTCTCGCTGCTGAGTCATCTCTCGCGGCGTGCAGGTTTGGCACAGTTCATACTGATAGTATTTGGTTGCATTTATGCAGGACAGGACATTCAACTGCTGGTCAATACACCACTCGTCATACACCCCTCTTGTCGTGGCAAAGATACAACCCAGTACGCTGTTGTGAGCTGCTAATCCTGCAGGGGGCACAAGTCCGGAGCGCGTGCGTTTGACTGGAGGACGCCCCAAAGGGCCATCCCACTCCAAGTTCCGGTTCGCTCGCCAACGAATGTAGGTGTCGAAGGGGAAGGCGTTCACC